AGAAATGAGTTATATTTTATTTTTGTTATTAGCACCGAACATACAATTTAAACTTATTACTCCTGAAAAAACGGCAGGCACTTGATATTGAGTAAGAAAATATTTGTATGAACCATACAGCTTCTGGTCTTCCAAGACCCGACCGGACAAAAATACGTGTTGCAGGCACGAAACACTACCAATACAAATACATTGCTTTTAAAATCGTTCTGTGTGACACGAAAAAAATGGGAAAATCGTGTTGGTGAACACAAATCAATAGATTAACTATTACATTGACAATTACACGAAATGCCGTGAGACTGGGTTGTTGAGCCAAATGAAGAGTCCAGGACATTGTATCTTGGAAACAGTGTCTAGATACCTTGGTATGTCTTTAATACAGTTACTGTGGGGCGATCAGGCAGCAATAAGTCTGTGTGCGTTCAAACAAGAAGAGAAGTACATTGGTGGGAACGAGCATTATTCTTTTTTTCTCTCAATCTCACTCTGCTCTGGTAAAGCCAAGGCCAGTTTGGCTTCATTTGCAGCACAAGCCTCTTAATCCCTGGAGTCTCCAGTGTAGATAAAAGGACATGAAGAGCATATAGAGGGGCTCTGATCCTTATTACATGGCACACACTGCTGAAAGAAAATCAGCTAATTTAAGAAAGCTGGACTTTTTAAAAGTATTTTCTCTCCTCAAATCATGGCCCATAAAGCTTTCTTACCTTTTTTTGTAAAATCTTCCTTCATTGAACAACTTGTCAAGATTTAGGGGTTAAAAGTGCTATACAAATATGTGCACCTCACAATTCCTTAAGATTTAAAATGAAGATTTAACTGTCATTTGTTTTCCGGGGAATGTTCGGTGTGTGCAGTTTCTTCTGCAAAAATGCCTTACTTAGCAGTGAGCGTAACGCTCACTGCTGCTTCTTGTGTTGGAGCTGCCCACTAAGACCACAGTCTTCAATGGCAGGTCTCTAAATAGCTCCGCTTAAGCTGTTGGGGCTAGGCAGAAGGGATTATTCATTCACTTTGAAATCCAAGATCTTAGTGCTGGTGCAGATTTTTGACCCAGCAACCTACCAGTCACACATTTGCTGCCAACCGTTTTTAGTTTGGGCCATGACTTGACTTCCTCTGGCATATTGCAAAAATGTTTAACAAAAGACCATGTGGGTTAGTGAAGCCTTCTCAAAAATTACTCCGTCATCTGGAATAAAAGTTCTTCCACTTTGTGGATGATTCAGCAGCCCAAACACCATCTAATTCTCCATGTACTGGCAACGTCAAATATTTAGCTATTAATGTTACATTTGTACCAAAAGTGGTTCAACCTTAACTTCACCTCACTTCTTAAATTAAAGAGCAATGATTTACTGTTCTAGATAAAAGCCCCACTACTTATCATTGACTGAATATCTACAATAGGACCACATCTCCAAATAAATAGTTTGTTGTAGTGTTAATCTGTTTGCAATGATCAGAACAGATAAAAAATGTGCGATTAATTTGCGATTAACTATGGACAATCATGCGATTAATCGCGATCAAATATTTTAATCGACTGACAGCCCTAATATATACTGTATATATATTACATTACATTACATGTCATTTGCTAGACACTTTTATCCAACGCGACTTACATACATTCAGTACTGTGGACAATCCCCACAGGAGCAATTTGGGGTGAAGTGTCTTGCCCAGGGACACAAGGACATTGGGACTCGAACTTGCTATCCCGATTCAAAGTCCAGTACACTATCCACTGAGCCACATATTCATGTTTATGTGCTTATGTCACATCTAGTGACACTGGACTATGGGGTCCAGTGTCACTAGATGTGACACAAACATAAACGTGTGCCTGCTGAGTCAGGGAAGGTTTTTGGTTTCTGTTTCTCTGCTATTTTTTTATATTTACTATTTAGCAAATTTACTATAAGAGATTGGTTGTTATAAAGTTTTGTATGCATTTTTAACTGAAGAAGAATGTATTTTTACATGGGTTTCTGTGTGAAAGTAGAACAGTAGGGGAAAGAGGTTTGCTGTGCCTTGTTGTGAAATCACTGAAAACCACAGTGCTACGGCGTCAAGTTCAGGATGACACGGTGTAGGGGGGTGTTCTCTCTCTATGGGAAATGATGTGTTCAGGGAAAGATACATTTGACCTCCGACCTACTGACTGAATAGGTAAAATCATGCAGAAGAAAAACAACACAATGTTTGCTTCATTGACACTTTGTTTACAGTTATAAATCAGTGAGTATAAAAACTGCTGTCAGATATGTGTACAACACATCTTAAACTTACAAAGAATACATGTTTTTTAATAATTAATTAGAAAAAAATACAAAGTGAAAAGATGCAACAGATTCTTCTGTTTCTCATGCAGCTCTGTCTAACTCTGCGAGGCCGAGCGGCCCTCAGTGCTGCCACCTGCTGCTCATCAGGGCTCCTCCACACAGTAATGGGAGTATGGCGAGATCCACTTCTCTGCACAGTCCCTGAAAACACACACACACCTGTTATAAATAAAGATACACACACAGCACTAAGAGACTGCTCTATCACTACAGCCATTAATTACCAAGTTATGCAGAATGATCATTTGAATTTGAAGTTTCTTCTTTACTTCCACCTCTCCTTACCATTTCACTTTTGCTTTTCTTACCTTGACAGAGGAGATTTGTCACATTTTTCATGGGCACACCTCACACACTCAGCTCTGCTTCTCATCCCACAAATGCATGTTCCTCACAAATGTAGCACTATTTGAAAGGTAAATAAATAGGCTTTCCAACGGTATAAGATGTTTTGCCAAAACAAAGAAATCATCTACCAAACACAAATGTCCTTACTTTTATGTTAAGTTTATATTTCGGTACCTTCCTGTTGCTTTGGCAGTGGATACTGAGTGGTGAATGGGGAGCAAAAGTGTTTGCTCTGAGGATGTTTGTACCTGTGATACTTTTGTCCTTTCCTCCTCTGGTACTCTGTTTCATCCACTGTCCACACGGCTCCCTTTCCTCCCTCCACACGCACAAAACACTTGTGTAGGCTGAGGTTGTGCCGCACTGCATTCTGGGAGGAAAGGTCAATGTGATTTAGTAGATGGAAAACTTTTCTTGTAGATTTTTAGTAGAACAATTAAGACCAACATTTATTGTGATTTTCCTGTCGGTTTAACCATATTGCAATCTTCCTGTCAAGAAGGAGTTAACGTGATTGCCAGCTTCCAAGCATTTGTAATTATGATGACATGATCTAAAAAAATTGAGAACTCTAACACTATATCTTGTTGGCTGAAGTAAATTAAAATGCGGTTTAATTTAGCCTCATTACCTTTTTACTGTTGCCTTGTTGAATGGATATAGATATGTTGCTATGAGAACAACACAGTCAAACTCACTTATTAAGAGATTTTTGGAGCCATTAATTGCTATATGATTTATGATGAAGTTATCTAACATCATTAGTTACGAACTATTATTTTTAGAACTGTTAAGATATTTATGTAAAGTAATATATATATATATATATAATGATGTTTTGTTTGCAGGCGCTCTCTATCACCCTGTGATTGTGTGACGTCAGCCTCCACCTGTGGTGTTTGAGGCTTTAAATTGACGAGACACTTGTGAGTTTTTGGGTCGGATGGCGGAGGTTTCGGACCACATTATTAAGCGCATCATTCTATAAAATAGATCACATTATTTGGAATATTGTTTAAATTATTTTTGCCGCACTATTTAGCACATTCTTTTCACACATTGTCTTTGAAGATTGAGTTTATTGTTTAATAAATCATAATTTTTCGAGTGGAAATGTGTGTCAGACACCGTCACCTGATCTCATGTGGCTTCAGAAAGTTTAAAACCCAGTATTAGCCACATCAGGTAATTATTAGTTGTAGAACTATCATCACATCAAATATATGAGCAGGTCAAACATTAGAGAAGTCTTTTGATGTATTATGTTCACCAAATTTGAACGTGTTGCAATGTAAGTGATATTAACAAGTCTGAACAATTGTAAGAAGGAGTGGACCTTAGGAAAAAACTGTGAAGTTGCATTTCAGTGTACATACATGATTTAGCAAGTGACATCTGCAGTTAGGCTCTATCCATCATAAATACTTCTGAGCAGAATGATGTGTAATGTGTGTGTTCAAACCTTCCAGGTAGCAGTGTTGTGTCTGAAGTAGAAGAACATGGTCGTGAACCAGTTGTAAATCTCATTCAACGTGCACTGTTTGTCAGTAGACTCCAGGATAGACTGCACACAGACACAGTGAGAGAAACACACAATGACACACAGTGAGAAGATGTGTCAAAGACTGTAATCCAATGTGTTGACAGATCAGAGACGGTGCAGTTGGTAGCAGACTACACTACGTCTGATCCAGCTGTTTGTAACCGGAGGCACTATGGCAAACACTACTAAAAACGACTAAATTGAAACACAAGAAAATATTAAACTGTAACCAGAGGTGCTTTTTCTGTTTGATAATGTTATCGTTATATGTCATGTTATAGTTTATTTTGTGTTAAACTTTCATTTGTGCTATTACAACTTCTTCTAAGGTCATACTGTTAACATGCTTTGCATTATTGCTGTGCTGCTGTTAAAAAACACACAAATTTCTTCACAAATAATGGAACATCTCACAGCATCTCCTGAGAGAGACTCACCCATCTTATCAAGTACGCATAGGTGTACGGAGGCCTGATGTTGTTGTATTTGTAGCATTCAATACTTGGAACCAAATCTGTACAACAAAAAATAATGATCATCAATTCATGTCAACAAGCACATGGGACTACAATCATGTGGTTATTCATCTGATCTTATAAGATAGTTTCCTGTCAAACCACAGAGTGTTAGTGGGAAACTATAGCACTGAACAGGTGGTTTTAAGAGCATGCAAAAACAGAGTGTTAAGATCTCTTTTATTTTTGAACAGTGTTCACACCCTGTCTCACGTCTGTTTTCACTTCCTGTCTCTGTGTTCCCTCCTGTTTGATAACCTTTGTGTTTGCCTTCCCTCCCCAGCTGTGTCTTGTCCTCGTGATTAGTCTTGCATGTTTTGTCAGTTCTGGTGGTCTGTTAGTTGTATGTCATTTGTGTATTTGTGCATTGATTGCCTAGAGTTGGTTACTTTTATTTTGCCTGGCATTGTCCTACTCTATCGATTAAAGGTATTTTTTTGTTGAACATTTGTACGTTCTGCATTTGGGTCCACCCTGCTCTGCTCCCAAGCCAGACAGAAGGATCTGACCAGAACATAGACCAAGCGGACGAGTTATTTTAGGAAAAACCTTTTGAGCTGTCCTACTCCCTTGTCTGCTGCTATGGGGAGTGGAGGATAGCTCAGACTACGAACTATACTCTACAAACGAATTCAGGCGACCTTTCACCTCCACTTAATTAAATGCATGGCTGCAAGATAAAAATGTGAGTTAATTGATTTAGATAAACATTTTAAGTTGCAAACATTAATTTATAAGTTGTGTTGACGTAATAATGTTGGTAATTACATCAACTTAATATTGTGTGTAATTTGAACTCTGATTTCTGCGTTAATTGACTTCAAACTAAATTCAAGTTATAGTAAGTAATGCAATTGGTTTGATAACTTAATTGTTCTACACCTTGAGTTAAGGATTTCAAGTCCACTCCCACTTAACATGCCTGGACAAGTTCCGACAGTTAAGACAAATAGAAATACTATAGAAAGGACATTTTAAGGTGAGTGTCATCTTTTGTCTTTCAAATACAGTAGATAGCCTTGTAGTTAAATATTTAAATGAAGCTCAGTGCAAGTTCTTTCAGGAAGACTGGGTGTATGTGAATTCACTCCGCAGCTGCATATAATCAATTCATCACAGGCGTTCTCTTTAACCTATTACATTTCACCTCATTCTCCAACAGCCAATCAACGTGCTGCAGCCAAACTATAAAATGGTTCTCCTCTCTCCTGCAGTCAGCTGGGATTTCCGGTGTTCATGCACCTTATCATATGGCATGTGTGAATAAATGTTCAAACAAAATGAATTCTCTCCTGATTGAAACATCATGTGTTGAAATAAATAACTGCAGTTCAAAATAAAAGGTGAATTGCCAAATATTTTCGTTGTGGAATCAATTAATGTCCTTCTTTAAAGGGCAAAAACATGAAAAAGCTAAGAAAAAAAACTATTGAATACAATATATTTGGAGCAACTTAATTTATAAATGGTTGTCAACTTAAAAACGTTTGTTCACAATGATGGTAATTAAGTACATACAACTTAAAATTCCTTTTAAATCATGTGGTAAAACTAGTCGGAACAACTTAATCTTTTGAGTAATCAACTTCAAAACTTGTGTTTATGCTACCAATTATTAAGTAAGTGGTAATTAAAAACACCTCTGATTGTAGAGGAAAAGCCTTCTCCCCTAACTCAAATAACTTTGTTGCTTTAAGACAATCTCATTAGAAGTTGTCTTAACTCAATAAACATTGATGCAAACTGTTTCGTTGATGTTCTTTGTTGAGTCAAGGCATTTGTTTTTAGAGTGTACAAAAGAGTAGCTTTAAGACTGGCATACCAGGGGCCTGTACTAGAAGCAGGATTTTCGGTTAGCGAGGTAACTTCAGGGTTAACTCTGAGTTTTCTGTCCTACGATGCTGCTTCACTTCTTACTGGGGTAGATCTCCATGGAAACTTATGCTAAACACCAAACCTGCTCCGGAGCAGGTTATGTTCCAGATAAGAGATCAACTCAGTGAAAGCACCACCTGCTGACCAATCAGAGCTCTGTGTGCCGAGTTTAAAGCTATCAAGTCATATTACAGATAACATATTATATTGCTTTTATCCTGGATTAAGTGTTTGAGTCATGGATGTTTAAAGTTTAACTTCTTCATATTTGTCTAACATGATAATTTACTCTTCTTTCATGAAGTATGACCTTCCGCTGTCAGGACGCTTCTTCATGTTTGTGATTGGTCAAATGTTGCTAAACCTGCCCCTTTCACGTGAACATGCTCTGGACAGAGAAACCCTGGGTTGACTTACCGAGTTGATAACCAGCGTCATATCTCGTTTGTTAGGGTTAGTTAAGCCAGATAACTCAGAGATGTCAGGGTCTTTTGGACTGACTTCATCTACAGACCTCTGGAAGCTCAGACAAAGCTCTCTGGATTGTATGTTTTTTACACTGCTGGATAAAGGATTTTGTTGAAACTGTTGCTTGCTCCGGACTGCTGGCCCTCAGCGAGCCCTGCTACCAGCACGAGCCCCGGCTCAAGTTCCAGTCCCTGACACTGCTCAAGCTCCACCCCCCTGTGGTCCCTTTGACGACCCGGGCCTAGAGTTTCCCCGACGCGGGGGCCACTATCCACCCTTTGGCCCCTGTATGTAAAGAATCTTGCTTTACAGAAATAAATGCAGAAACACAAAAGTACACTGTTGAAACAAAACCTTTTAGTTTTCGACACAACTATTCAGTGCAACTTGCATGCAAAACACAAACAGTTACAGTTGTGGGAACCATAACTTCTGATCACTACCAAATACAGTAAAGGAAAAAGAAAAGTAAAGAAAATAAATGAGAAAATAAACAATATTTTTTTGTCCAAAAAAACGGAGAGAACAATACCTAACCGAGCTGGGACTGGCCACAGCGACTAATCAGCATGACAGGCAATATATTTATAGGCTGAACACTGATGGAAGACACTCGTCCCTTACATGGATACTATGTTGTCACTTGAATAAATACACTGCTAACCACTCACCTGACTTGTTTCCCCTCTTTTGTCACATTCCCTGAGCCGGTTTGTGACATCAGAGTCCTGCTCCACTGCCTGCTGGACAGGCATGCACCACAGGGCTGACAGTCATACAGCCTCCACCACCACGCCCAAATAACTTCTCAATTGACTTCAATTCGTCCTCACTCTCACCCCCTCTATGTTGCTTCTATTTATGTTGCAAAAAAATACTCACCTACAGTCTTTATATAGTGCTTACATCCTGATTGATGAGTCAGAAAATAATCAGTTAGGCACATGGGACATGTACTGTATTTGCTAACACAATCGTAGCATCGGAACAAAATTATTATGAGAGGGAGGATGAGAGAGAGGGAGGATGAGAGAGAGGGAGGATGAGAGAGAGGGAGGATGAGAGAGAGGGAGGGTGAGAGAGGGAGGATGAGAGAGAGGGAGGATGAGAGAGAGGGAGGATGAGAGAGGGGGAGGATGAAAGAGGGAGGGTGAGAGAGGGAGGATGAGAGAGGGAGGATGAGAGAGAGAGGATGAGAGAGAGGGAGTATGAGAGAGAGGGAGGATGAGAGAGGGGGGTGAGAGAGAGGGAGGGTGAGAGAGAGGGAGGATGAACTGAAGTCAGCTGAAGAGTTATTTGCAGATTGCAGCATGCATCTGTATGAGCGTCAGGCCTCCTCTCCAGGCAGTGGAAGAGGCCTGTGATGACCCTGGTGTTAGTGTCCTGGTGTTAGCAGAATCAACATCAATGATGTTGATGATGTGGCCAGAGCCAGCTAGGTGGTCAAATGCACCCTAAGTATTTATTTCCTCTGCTAAATATTTGTTCCTTAAAGTTTTCTTTTCCCTTTACTGTATTTGATAGTGTGCACATGTTGTTGTACCCTTGACTGTAACTGTATGTGCTGTGTGTATGTTGCGCTGATGGACTGTGTAGAAATTTTTTGTTTCAACTGAATATCTGTGTTTCTGCACTTACTTAGTGCAGAATTCTCTACATACAGAACGCCATAAAAGACGAGTGTGCTTTAGATTGAGCACAGCGTTGTGTATTTGGGTGGACAAAGAATCTGGAACTCTAAATGAGGTGTGTGCCATTTAGTGCAAAAGTTTGGTTTTGGTGAGTGTTTATGTAGTTTTAGGTGCAGTAAGTAATTATGCAGGGTGTAAGAGGTGTTCTGTACTTTGGGTGTGTGCTTTTGTGAATTGTTTTAAGGGTTTTGAGAAAATGGGCCATGTTTACGTGTGTAAGCAAAATAAACACACATTACACTTCCATAGAAAACGTACCTGGCAGCAGGTGGGCAGAGGCAGGAGCTCTGGGGCCGTGCTGCCCCCCCCTCCCCTCCCGATGTTTGATGCCCCACTGTTGCACTCTGTCTCCCTCTGTGCCCGGGGGCTGGGGCAGGAACAGACGCAGGCTGTACGGCCACTGAGACGCTGCCTTCAGTGTGCATGGATGGAGGAGGATATGAAAACACTTTCATTCATCTGCTTTCTTTCCAGGTAGAAAATCAGTCACTAAGAATCTTGGTTAAATATAAAGTTTTGAATGAATTCTTCAAGCTACACTTAGCTAAATTCTAGTAAAGCACACAAATCTAGAAGAAACAATACATGCTTTGAACCAACATACCAAATCAGTGTGTTTGTGTTCAGAGAGGTGTAGATGAAGTTGCATTGCAATGAGCTTCTGTTTTTCCAGGATGAGCTGGAAAAGAGAAAGCCTATGGTTAAATATACATCACATTAAATAAGTGATTTTACACACAGTGTTTGTAAGTCCTTATTTAACATTTGTAAGGATGCTGGCAGGTGACAAGTGTGGCTCAGAGCATTAGTGCACTGATCTTCGTAGCGCGGGGGGGGGGAACCGGTTCAAATCCCGCTGCAGTCAGCATTTCTCTGTGACTTTTGGCAAGACACTTCACCCAACAACATTGAATGTATAATAATAATATTGGGAAAGATGAAACCCTCTTTAATGGTCACACATGCAGAGGACAGAGCACACACAGTGACATGTTTTCTCTGCTTTTAACCCATCCTAGTACCAGGAGTCTAGTAGGAGCATTGGGAAGCTATTGTACAGCGCCCGGGGAGCAATGGGAGTGAGGGGGGAAGGGGGGTGTCCGGTGCCTTGCTCAAGGGCACCACGTCAGGGCAGGAGGTGAACTGGGACCTCTCCAAGTAGCAGTCCACACTCCATTTTTTAGGTCTGGTCGGGGACTTGAACCGGCGATCCTACACCTCACAGCCCAATCCCTACTGACTGAGCCACTGCCAGACCGTATGTAAGTGGCTTAGGATAAAAGTGGCTAATACGTGACATGTAATGTGTATGACAAACATTAGAGCTGTGTTTGTCCTGTAGCGGACTCTCAGTTATAGCCTCAAGAGACAACGCTCCTTTTATTTGGTTTTCATGTGTCATTAGGATAAAAGCTTTATAGAAACACCCACAAAATATAAAGAGGAAATATTCCAACATCCATAATAGCTTCAACACACTTTGGTAATCATCAAGGAGGCATACAATCAGTTTTCTGAAATATTTAGAGTAGATTAGTAATACTCAATATCAATTTCATTTCCTAGGATATTAATCTATATCTGTCTAGTTTCAGACCTCCTAGGCTTGTCTAGTTCCCACCTGGCTCTCAATGCACTGGACGACGTCTTGCTGGAGCTTCCACTGAGCGATGCTCCTGTCACCAGGACTGTGTTCAGAGTGGAGGTGCCTGGAACACCAAACAGGACAGAGCTTACCTTCCAGCTTATTTGGGAATTAAACAGATATTGGGATGATGTTCTTTCCTCCATTGATTTGTGTATCTAGCCCCAACACACATCAACTCAATTAACAAATGATGAACAAGAGCAAGTGCCATTACAAACTTAATGTGCTTCAAAACAACACAACATGAGGGCATGGCACTGCCTGACAGATGTATTGTACTCTGGGTAAGATGGAATAACATATGTGCTGAAGAAATATTTTAAAGAGGCAAACATTGTTTGATATTGCTAGGTTATTTTCACATTACATTACTAATATCAACTGAAGAGAATATGTACCTCCTGATATTTTTCCAAAAATACCATACCAATTCAAAGACAAGTGTACTGTTACTGTAGGATTCAGCAGTCTACTTACTTTAAGAAAGAGGGGAAATCCTCAGACAGCACATCACAGCCGGGCCAGCGGCAGAGCCCACCCACAGACAGAGCAGTGGTCCTGCCTGAGATGCTGGTGTGAACAGAAATATCTCAGTGATACCATTTCTGAACCAATGAAATAACGGCAGCGCTTTCAGGCTGAAAGTGCAGTACAAGGAAAGACACCATTCGGTGGACATTTGAGAAAGTCACCCATCATGAATCCTGGCCTCCATGGAGTTCTGAACATGAACATCTCTCCTCACTGGGAGGAAGTGATGATTCTGCCTGGGAGAGGAAGAGCCCATTTGTGGTGAGGAAGACTGGGGAAGAGAGTCTGCATCCACCTCTTCCTTGCAAATGAAGACGACTGCATTATTTTCTGGATGCACAAAAATATAGTATTGATGTAGGCATTTGATCTAAATTGTACATGATTAGCATCAAGCTCTACGTTGCAAGAAAGAATGTCTCATGTCCAGTTGCATAATTGGTATAAAGGCTAATTGTTTGTGCATACTGAAATAAATACTGAATACAACAATAGCGTAGCTAAAAAAAACGTGAATGAAGGGTTATATCAGATGAATGTGTTGCTGTTGTGGTGCTCAGGACTCTGAGGTTTGTGCGTACCGTGGGGTTGACTGGAAGCGGTTTGGGAAACCTGGCGCAGCACTGATGGCCTCTGCTGTTTCTGCCTTATGTCTTCCATACTGCTCCAAGACTGGGAGAAAAAACACCAATATGATGTGGATGATGTGACAGATAATACAACATGTAGTCAATTTTAAGCATTACAAGCTCTACAAACTTTAACTTGACTAATTTCAGCCTGATGAACACCTCCTGAGGGTCAGGAACGGGGGCGTTCCTATTAATGCATACTAAATTCCATTTATTTATTTTTGGTTCAATACCAGTTGTAATATTAATTATGTTTGCAGAAATAGAATTTTCTACAAAGAACAAACATTTTAAGACCCTCCCGTATTATTTAGTCCACTTCAAAAAAACATTATCATTTATTCATTCAACAGTTTTTGTTTCTTGTTAATTAATAATAATAGCTTGGATTTATATAGCGCCTTTCATGGGACCCAAGGTCGCTTTACAAAGAAAAACAGGAGTAAAAACAAACAAACAAAAGGCAGTCAGACAAACAGTCAGACAGACAAAACAACAAATCAATTAGGGGTCGAAGGCCTTGGCAAAAAGATGGGACTTGAGGGTCCTTTTGAAGGTGTCAAACGTGGGGATGTTGCGGACCTCCGCAGGGAGAGCGTTCCAGAGGGTGGGGGCTGCCACACTGAAGGCTCTGTCCCCGAAGGTTCGCAGTTTGGTGCGGGGGGTGGTAAGCAGGCCAGAGCCTGGAGACCGCAGGTTCCAGGGTGGGGCATGTGGGTGAAGGATGTCCGATAGGTACTGGGGGGCATGGGCATGGAGGGACTTGTAGGTGAGGAGGAGGACTTTGTAGTTTATGCAGGACTTGACCGGAGTGGAGGTGGATGAGGGTGGGGGTGATGTGCTGCCATGGCTTTTTGTATGTGTGAGTACCCTAGCAGCACAGTTTTGGACATACTGGAGCCTGTCCAGGGTTTTGTTGGGGACCCCAAACCGGACACCATTGCAGTAGTCCAAGCGGGAGGTGACAAACGCATAGACTAGGGTTTCGGCAACCGACTCCGAGAGTGGCGGTCGGATGGCAATGTTCCTTAGATGGAAAAAGACCGATTTGGTGACAGACTCGATGTGGGAGTGGAAGGAAAGGGTGGAGTCAAAGATGACACCCAGGTTGCGGACTTCAGGAGATGGGGAGATGGAGCAGCCGTCAACCTCAAGGATGAAGTCACCAACCTTCTGGAGCAGCGCCTTGGGGGCCACAACCATTAGCTCTGTTTTCCTGCTGTTGAGTTGCCCACTAGAGAGTTGCCCTGTGAGGAGTCAAGCTCTCATAACACAGTGTATTACTATAGTTACCCCTAACAGGACGCTCACACCAGGGTATGATTCTCTGGCGACATGGACCGCCAAACAACTCTATCCAAGCGGACACCAGGCAAACAATTACATTCACGTCGGACCGCCGGGAATGTTTTCTTCCCCCCCTATTTGTGGTGCCCCCCATGGATGGATGCACCTTTAGCATTCGCCTATACTGCCTATGCCACGGGCTGGCCCTGGTTGTAGTGAAGCGCTGCAAGTCTTTGACAATCAACTTGTCATCTGACACTCCCATGTCTGTTTCTGTGTTATTCTCCCCCCATTGGACATGGGAGGCTGCACTTAGTACAGAGCATAGACATAAACATAGATATTGAGGGACAACAGTGTAACGCTAACCTTGCTGACAGCAGTCAAACACCTCCTTTACATGCATGTTTTTCCTTGTCGGCTTTGACTGTGGGGATCACATACTGAATCAGAGCATTGAGAGATGAGGCTCAGCATTGAAAAGGCTTTGAATGCCTTTATCGCACAAGCAGTGCGCTCATCACCATCCGTCACTTAACAAGTAAACAGATTGGTCAGGAGATTATCGAAACGTAGGTACTGACCAATTAGGTACCAGTACTAATTTACTATCAGTTCTCGATACCTATCCCTAGTCAGGTGAACAAATTAGTAATTTGTTACACTCAGTACTTATTAATTCAAGAGGGCTTTTAAAAAAATTGTTCACATTGATAATTCATTTGAGAGCATGTGTACCGGTCTGTAAAAGATGAAGCATGTAATCAGTGGCGGCCGGCCCATAGGGGTGCTAAGGGCGCCGCCCCACCTGTTCCAAAATTCTAGATTGTCATTCAAAAATAGTTAAATGTTATTAATTGTGTACATTTATTTTTTAATGAACAAGGTACATATTATATAGTTGGTGTCAGTTAAATGTATAATCTGCGATAAAATATCGAAACAAATGGTTTTACGATGTCTAAAGTTACTGATAAGTCATGTGTTTCCTGCTTGGGGCGCATAAATCTTTGCCCATTGACTCTCGTTATAAGTAGTGCATGCTCAGTCCGCACCTCTTCAATGCAAGTGATAGGAGCAACTCGGGGTGCACCAAACTGAACCCAAAGCAGCTGTTGACACCGCCAACAACTAGGGGGCAGCAGGAGCGCCAGAGTGAGTGATTGATGTTTGAATGAGAGTTAGACGGAGACGGAGTGTAAACAAAACTAGAAAATGATGTTTAATCACTTAAAGAAACAGCCTTTGAGAAGAGGACACTGGAGGGAAACCTGAAAGTGAAAGAGCTCGGACCTGATCAGCCTGACATAGGCCGGAGTCAAGGACAGAGGAAGGCAGTATACATGCTCTTTTTCAAGGAGCTGCTTTAGCAAGAAGGCTGGGCTAACTACCTGTAGCAACACCAGTACTATGTTTTGCTTCCCCTGCCTCCCTTTTCAAACGTCAGGATCAGACCAGTCTATGGACCAGACCCAGCATGGATCCAGACAGATGTGAGTGACTTAAAGCACATATCAGAAGAACTAAAAAGCATGAACAAACTAGAGTCCACATGGATGATGCTATGCTAAGGTGACCAGATTTTCAAAATTAAAACCGGGGACATTTTGAGTTTTGCGGTCAATATATCATTAACATATCCACTTTTCTTCACTGTTAAAGAAAAAAGGGGGACAATTCTGGTTCAATGTAATTCGAACATTTGAACTGTTGGATACAAACAGAAGGACGATAGCTCATATATGAGACTTCAAAGGTCTTTTATTTTGAAACTGTACATCAGATTGTCCAGATTCTCTCTGAGTGATTAGATGGGGTGTCCTGCTATCACCCTGGAGTGAAATAAGGCTTTGATACTGGATAGTTTTTGTTTTATTCTTATCTAAAAACAGAGGGATGATAGCTCATATATGAGACTTCAGAGGTCTTTTATTTTGAAACTCTACTTCAGATTGTCCTGATTCTCTCTGAGTGACTAGATGGGGTGTCCTACTATCACCCTGGAGTGAAATAAGTCTTTGATAATTTGACAGTTTTTTATTTATTCTTGTATAAAAACAGAAGGACGATAGCCCATATATGAG